CATGCGTTTTGCCAAGAATGGAGTGGCGCATCTTTTAGAAAAAAATTTAATCTTGTACAATGAAAATTGAGCGAGATATTAGCGAAATACTGAGACCTTCATTTATTCTGGGCCACCCGTTATTTCATTGTAACAAAAGTGATACCACATATCAGCAAAAGTAAAAATATTTTGAAAAAAGAAAAATGAATACTCAAAGTCATATTAGGAGCATTATACAAATTGATTAAACAATTTGGACTACGCTTGAAATAGCAAAATATATCGATGATTCATACAGATAAAACATTATTCTTCATTTTTCGGTGTATTCCCAAAGTCTATTCAGAGATGAATATAGTATAGAATGATCGTGCCATCTTGCGTACGGTCTTGTTCTGCGTAGCAACATGAAGGTAGCTAGCAGTACAGTACATAATTGTTAAAATTATCTAATCCATACGACTATATCAATGAAGTTGTTTCAAAATGAACTAGATTCTCTATGAACTCATAAACTTTCGAATATCTATTTTTTCAAATTACAATCAAATGTATGGATTAATGATATTTTCTATTCAAGATAAAATATTGTGCTTCACAAAATTTACTCTAATAAACTAACAATATACATTTAAGGAGATTAATCTTTTTCATATAGTTGATATCCATTATTGAGTATGTGTTTATTAAGATAAACTTGAAAACAATCAATAAAGATTTATTTTTAGTCGAAACATTTTCAATTTCATCTGTCTTGATAGTCTTAAAAGCAGCTGTATTATTTGAAATTGTTTATGAATATTTTCTTAACATAGATTTTAACGATGTCAAGTTGAATACTAGTTTGATCTATAAAATCATGCTCGTTTTGTATTAAAGGCACTTCACTATATCAAAAGATATAATAAATTGATCGCACTTATTAAGACTATGTTAGATTTGATATTGTTAAACATTTTCACTTATGACAAAATTCAATTAAAGTCATATGAGATGATATCGCAACGTCTAGATGAACTAACGATTTCAAAAATCACAAACAAAACTGAAACGAAACAAAAAGAAATTCTGTTATCATTTCTGCAGATTAGAAAAAATTGTCGAATTTTTTTGTATTTCGTACGGAGATAAAAATATCTATTATAAAATGATTTTAGTGTATGAATTTTTTTCAAATAAAACTCTACAGAAACACAATAGAAAATAACAATACTTGACTTACGTTTTATTTTACATACACTTTCGTATAAAAATCTGTTTAAAAAAAGAACAAGTTACTATTGTTTTTCTCTAACCCTGTTGTGTTTTCATTAAGTTAGTCAAAAAGAAAAGTCTGATCGAATACTTGAGAAGCATGAAATGAGTTAACTTCAAGATTATTTTAACTAGATATGCACTTGATTTAGTTGAACATTTGCAAAACCTAATACTCGTCATGTACTCCAACTCAACAGACCCAAGGTAATCAAACTCTGAATAAATAAATAAAAAAAATTACATCTTATAGACCAACTAAATCTGACCTATGAATCGTATAGTATGTAAATAGACATCATCATATTCTACTGAAAACTTTTCTCTTGCACATTATTTAATATTTAGTGTATTGGATTTACAATATTTAGATCTTCAATATTGTCTAATTCTGTTTTATAATAGAATCAAAAAGAAAAAGATAGTTGATTCAACAATTTTCTAGCAAAACTCATTCATTCTCTATTAACTAAACTAAAACTCTATTAATAAATGGGATATATTTTTTTACTAGTGAATGTATAAATGAAAGAACAATAAAACTAACCATATTTAGTGAACTATGTATATGATCTGATAAAATCCAAAAATTGACCAAACTTCTCAGAGTTACGATTGCATTTATAACATATCATTGATAATGAACTTTCACGAAAACGTTTTGATTTAGTCGCTGATTTTTACCAACTTTGTTCAAATTCGTTTCTATCATTCGGAATCAAATCAGTTGAATTTTGTATTGCAACTAGATATCGAAAGGTTTCACTATCGAAACAAAATGTATTTCTTTTCTCAAAAGGAATTTTCTTTATAGAAAATGATTCGAAAAATGTATTTAATAATAATCGTGTATTACCTGGAGCAAAGAATATTGAACGAATATTCGTAAAACAAAAAAATAAAATAATCACGAATATTTTCACCAAAATAATCAAATAAATGAATACAATAAGAATGAAGAAAAGAAATTACGTATTATTGAAATACAAGATTTACATTTTTGAGTTACTGATTGACCTATATCATCATGATATTCATTTGAATCAATTTCACCAAATTTAATTATTTGTTCATCAAAATTATCATTAATTGTCATTATAAATGAAACAGGTATTATAACAATTGGTTTTCCATATTGAGTTTCATCAAGATTTTGAAAATAAAGATAATTAGCAAAAGCATTAATGAAAGTTGATTTACCAACACTTGACTCTCCAAGAAGAAGTATATTGACAAACTCGTTACTTGATGATAATAATGATGGTGGCGAAGTAGATTTTCTTTCTTTACCACTTTCAGATGGTTGAAGTTTTGATGGATTTTGATTTTCTATTAGATCTTTCGATAAATTTATTGTTATCTTTTTTAAGTTATATGTTGAATAAGTGAAATCAGCATAGACAAGACGTAATTGAGAACTTTTTTTTTCTTTTCTTGATCATTTGAGAATACAATTTAGTCCAATTTTCCTGATCATCATTTCTAAATGTATCGTTTGAAAACAATAGAGCTTTGAGAGAATTATTGCCAAAAAGCATATCGTTGATTTGACTTCCCTCTAATCCATCTTGAATGCCTAAATTTGCAACATTGCAGTATTCAAATTCATCATTTTGTAGTAGTTTCATTAATTCTTCTTTCGATTCCAAATGATCTATCTTTAGTAATATTGTTAATCAATTTTTGAATTTCTTTTGGTGGATCCAAACTAATTTCTCTTTTTATTAAATTTTGAGTTATCGTTCCGTTTCGAATGTTCAAAACTATATTATAAAGTCGTTCAATATCTTTCATATATAAAACTTGTAATTTTGAAAGTTCTTTCTGAATATTATTGAATCGTCTTTTATATTTACCTTGTAATAATTCAAATAAATTATGACTGACACGAAAATTCAATAGTTTTAATTCAGATTTTTGTTGAAATAAATTATGCTCAAGAATTTCAATCTCGTCTGATTTACGTAAAATTATTTTTGGCAAATGTAGAGCGTGTCAGCTGCATTACCATTCAATAGGAGTAAGAATACATTTTAATCGTCCATATGGTTTACTATTATAGCCTCATATATATGTTGAAACTTTTTTATTTTAGTTAAATCATCTATATTTAAATAAACTGTGGTTGGGATAATTTGGTTCAACAGAACATGTTGTTGTGAGTCTATTCTTATGATCTGCTTATTACTAATTATACTTTCTGGTAATTTCTTCAACAAAACATCAATTTCTTTTTCTTTATCAGAAGGTAATTGTAGAATAACAAGAAGATAAATACCCGAAATGATTTCAGTTATAATGTGAGTTGCAAATGTTTTACATGTTGATAATCTTACCGCATTTTTGAATTGATGTGAATGATCTTTATCTAATTCTATATGTGATTCTTAATAAATATAAAAAGTCGAGTATATTGATTAATCAATTGAGAATAATTAATGAGAGAAGCTACTCGAGTTGCACGAGTCATTTCTAATAATATATTTAATTGTTGCTGTTTACCAATACCAATAAATTTAAGCAAATTTTGACATTCAGGTGCATGTCTATCGATTAGTATACATTTAATTTAGTATCCATCATAGAACGATCCGACAGAACCATATTGATCAATGGCGATACGCTCTATATTAATTGTGATCGTCTCATTAGCATCTGAACTTTTCTCAGGTCCTTCAGGCACCATAGCATGAAAGAGTTTTCTACTTGCCGTCTGATTATCTTGGATATATGTTTCACTAAAAAGATCAATACAAAATAGAATAAAAATATATGTCAATATCGTTGTAAGACTCAAATCAATAAACAGAATGTATAAATTTGTCGTTTTATAATTGTTTTATTTATATTTTAACGAGCTTTTTACGAAGCAACCACCCCAGCTGTAATCCACCATTTGAACTCCTATTGAACCTATAAGAAAATCTCGATAAGGCTAGAAAAAACTTAAGCTTGCTCTCCCGCCCCCCCCCCCCCCCCCCCCCCGCGACCTCTCCCGCCTACTCGAGCTGTTTTGTTTGGTACATTGTGCGGGGTGGCGGTTTG